GGAGCTACTATTGAATCCCAGAACTTAGGAAGTTGCTGTGAAAAAGGAACAATGTGCTTCTGGGATGCTAGCCAATGCTAAAGTGGCTAAGGGCTCTGGCTTATGTGTGTTTTCCTTCAGTGCAGATTATACCATGCATGAACACAGACTGTGATCTTGGTATATTGTTTACTATACAACAGAATTCAGTATATGGTAGAGTCTGTGTAGGACCCCCTTCCAAGGAGGTTCTTTAAAGGACCTTGTTAAAAGCTGGTCCCAAGACATAGAGGGACAAAGAGCATAACAAAGCTCCAATATTCATGATTTCTTGAGTTAGACTGTAGAAGTGTCAAGAATATGTTTGAGAATTCTTGTAGTTATTTCTAATTTTCTTTTAAACTCTTCAGACCTCCATTCTCGATGTGGGACTATCTAAACCCATACTAGCACAGAGATGCAGTCAGTAAGTTTTGATTCCTAAGTCTGGAATATTAGGTAAGAGCAAGCATTTTAAATGAATTTCCCAAAAGACAATAAATTAGTATATGCATTGAACAGGGTTTGAAAAATGATTTTATGGTTACTTCTGTAGAAAGCTTATTAATAAGAAGTTGTTTATTGGTTATACTTCACTTGTGTGTACAAAAACTGTTATATCATCCAAAATGAGGACTTTTTATTTATGTCTTATAAAAAGACATTATATTTTTATGTGTTAAAGAATTTTATAATGTGCCTCATGTGTATTTTGAGGGGGATGGTATCTCCTCAAATTTCTCTTTTCTAAAATACACATGCACACAAATACACAAAACTCTTAAGTCATGCCCTACTTTGCTAATATAAAGAAAATATATTGGAATCAGTGACTGATAATGGCAAAGTTGCCAATTCTTCCAGAATTAATTTATAGACTTAAGAAATTCCAAACAAATTATCAATAGGAATTTTTGTTTGTTTGAAATTGACAGAATGATTTTGCCAGCTTATCTGGAGAAGGAAACAAATGAAAAATACGAAGACATTTTAAAAATAAAGAACACTCTTTTCTTGCTCTACCTCTTGTTTAAAACTTTATAAAGCTGCTGTTATCAACAAAACATCATATTTATCAACACAAGATTAGACACATGCTGTATAGCCCAGGAATATTCTGGTATATATGACTTATGTTATTATGGTAGAAAATGTATCAGAAGTTAATGACAAAGAGATTGATTGTTTAGTAAACAGTATATGAGAAATTGGTTACATATTACAAAAAAATAATCATTTTAAAATATCATCTCTACCCAAAGTTAAATTTTACTTATGTTAAAGTGCTAAATCTGAGAAAGTAATAATTCTATATGAAAATGCAGCTGAATGTGTAGTTGACCATTGAACAGAGGTCTCCTTAATCATTAAAGTAATGAAGGAAAATCACATCAAAATGACATAAATTTGACTACATAAAATTGTGAATTATTGAACATCAAAAGACAACATAAGTTGGGGAAAATACTAACAAGTAATATAATGGAGAACTGACATTTTTAATATTTGAAGGGCTTACATTAACTGAAAAAACAGTGAGTCCATACTGAAAAATAGGTAGAAACATTACTGATAACTTATTAAACATGAAGAAACTTATTAGACACGAAGAAAATATATAGCTTAACAATGAAAATTTAAATTAAAGCAATTGATGCCATTTTTTGTATATCAAATTAGAAAATATTTTTAAAAGGATAATATTCAGTGCTATCATGGACATGGTAAGACAAATGCTTTTATAAACTGCTGATGGGAGTGGGAATTATTATAACCCTTTTGGAAAGTAATTTTTAGTGTATGTCAAGAAAATTGGACTATTTCTTCTCCTTGACCTAATATTTCTTATTTCTCAGGAACTCATATTGGGGAAATAATCATAAATGTCAAAATACATGTGCATATTGAATAATTTTTTTAATTAGTGAAAAACTGGAAATAACCTAAATGAACATTTAGGTAAATTATGGTAAATTGGTATGTTGATCTTATAACACGATTGAAACCTCTTTATAAATAAGTTTTAAAGATATAAGACAATGCTTATGATATAATAAGTAGGGGAAAAGGAGGCTACTAAATACTGTGCGTGTGTATATATATGTATTTATATAAACATTGTATGATATCGAATGTGTTAAAACACACTCATATACACATGCACATATATACATACACACATAAACGATTTGATTGAGGATCAGACAGCAAAAGACTAGCAAGGCTTACCTCAGGGTACTGGGGCTTTAGATTATTTTCATTTTGGGTGTATTTATGATAGAATGACTAGTGAATTGAAAGCATTAATGGTAGTGAACCTAAAACTAAAAAAAAAAAAAAAA